ATGTCCAAGCTGCTGAAGCTGTTGATATCATTTTTGGAAGTATCAGTGCTCATGACGTCCGCCAACCCGCTGGCCGCACTTATGACAATGCGGGTGAGGTGGTACCGTCTGGTGTTACTCTCCTACTTGCAGCCGTTGGCCTACTCGATGAAGCGGACGTATTTCTCGACGTTGGGGCTGGTGTTGGCAACGTGCTTGCGCAGGTAGCGCTTATGACTAACGTCAGAGCGTGCGTCGGGATCGAGCTTCGACGAGACCTCGTCTCTATCGGTGAGCACTGCATGCGACTGCAGCACAGGAAATACCCACGGCTCAGGAAGGTACTACTCAAGCAAGCGGATTGTAGAGATGTTTTGATGTCACAGCATCCTCTCATTTGTGAAGCCACTATTGTCTTCGCTAACATATTTCTATTTGAAGAAGATGCTAAGCTTGTTGTTTCACGAGAGCTGAGTGCAATGCCAGTGGCGCGGATGGTAGTTGCGACGTCGCTCTTCTGCCCAAGGCATCGTTCATCGTGCTCGGAGCCATACTGCAAGTGCTGGGAGCTGGATCATCACTTAGAAGTACATGTTAGCTGGAAGGCAACACTCCATCCAATTTACATATACCGTAAAAGACTATGATTCATTTGTTTTACTATATCACACTTGCCGGTCGTCAATATCTTCGCCACGTCCGCGAGCACCGGTTTCACCACGACCAGCACCATCAAGCCCAACTTCAGTGCCACGAGGCACATGAGCGGCATTACGAAGTACACGGCTGCCGACTCCACAAGCTCCACCAAGTCCTGCTGCACCGCAACCAGCCATACATGCAGTATCACCAAGTCCCCGGGAGTTACCACGACCTGCGCCAGCAACACCAACAGTATCACTAAGCCCACGGACGCCTGCGTCAGCACGACCGACGTCACCAAGTCTGGTTGCTCCACCACCCAGTCCAGCCGCACCTCCACCAAGTCCAACGGCAGCGCCAGGTCCAACACGGCCTGCACCGTCTAGTTCAAGTGCAAAGTGGCCATCCACGCCAGTATCGCCAACACCACATGCGCCGGATAAACCACGCCCAGTACCATCCAGTCCACGCGCAGTGCCGCCATTCACACCAGCATCGCCAAGTCTAAGTGTAGAGCCGCCATCCAAGCCAGAAGCATCGCCAAGTGCACGACCGGCAGCTCCACCACGTCCTGTCACACCCACAACTGCAGCGCCACCAAGTCCTAATGCAGCACCACAAAGTCCACGGGCACCGGCTCCAACACGACCTGCATCGTTATGTCCAAGTGCAGCGCCGCCATCCACGCCAGCAGCATCGACAAGTCCACGTGCGCCAGCTCTACCACAACCTGTACCACCAAGTTCAACCGTAGCGCCGCCATCAGCGCCAGCACCACCAAGCCCACGTGTACCGGCTCCACCACGACCTGCACC